ATATATTCACTTTAACTTATGTCTGTGTGGTACTCTAATTGGAAGAAAAGTAAGCAATTCTTGCAGTATTCAAGTAGGGTATACATTATAATGCAATATCTTAGAAATAAGCATCCATTGACTTTGCTTTGTGAAATTTAGATGCAATATCTTTTCCCCCCCTTCAATAGCTAACATTTATGGGCCTAAATCGTCTAGAAGGAGAAGAAAATGATAGCGATGATGAGAGCATTGCTAATGGATTTTTACCTAATAATGCCTGGCATAAACTGGGAGCAGAAGCAGAAAGATATTTCAGAAGATCTCCTTCTTTTCACTACATGTAAGCATATTCAAGGAAAATGATAATATATGCTGAAGTGCAACATGGCCTAGTTAATTAGCTCTCAAAAGGACTGACCCTTAGATTATCAATTTTTAGGTAGTACACTGTATTTGAGAGAAGAGATTAACTTGGGAGTCTGGCTGCAGTCCATAGCAGAGCTCTCTCCTGGCATGGCAGTCAGGTCACTGAACCCTCAGTTGTGCCCTTCTCCCACCTAGATAAACTCATGTTCACCCAGGCATTTCAAATAACATTCTCCTTTTCGGAGTCTGGTTTATGAAGTAGTAACACAAAATGAACATAAACCATTTTTTCACTCTTCTGAGGCAAACTGATCTTCCACTGGACAGGAAGGTCTCATAATTTCCTTTACCTATTCTTTTCTGCCCTACAGTGCCATCCTCTGCAAACATTCCTTCTTCCCTTTTTGTAATATTTTGCATTTTCCTCATCTGGGAGGCACAGCCAAGGCATAGGAGAGTTCTCTCTCCTCCTTAGGGCTTCCCCAGGTCCTGAAAAGCACATCGTGGGATTTGCTCCGGACCTCCGACCTGATTGTGTGTCTATCCTGATCTGTCTCCCTGAGCACCATGTAATCCTCTGCAGGATTTTGTAGTTTGAGAGCCTCCCAGTACTTCCTGCTTTCCCAGCTCCTTCCTAGGAAGCAATCTGAATCCTGGCAATCATTCCCACACCTGCTGTACTGCAGGAGAGTCTTCCTGCTCCCTGCAGGTCTTCCTCTGTGTGAACAGGCACTTTTATGAGGTGCTGCCTCTGGGCTGCTGTCAAATGATCCTTGGTTATCTGACTCAGGCCCAGAAGCTCAGCGTTAACTTCAGATAGTCCCAGCTCACCCTGTGATAGATCCCAATTTCCCCGTATACATGAAAAAAATCAGTTTGGTCATCCTGTCCCTGCTAATGCAGTTTTCCCCCTCCCGCAAGTCTAATTTCAGCTCTGATAAAAGGCTGAATTATTTGAAGGCCTCAACCAGCTATACAATTTGCACTACAAGTAACTGTTGCAAGTGGTTGTAGAGATGATCATATGGTCTTACACACTGGGATAGTAATAAAAGATGAATGGTATGTTAGGAAGACTAGTAGCTAGTTTACCATTTTAAAACATAAAATATCTGAGATTACAAGTACCAACAAAGTGCTGAAGGTAATTTTATTCTAATGTTATACTGGAAATGATCGAAGATATTGAATGGAAGAAAGTCTAACTTTGATTTCTTTGTAAATAGTTGAGTATGGACCTTTAGCTATACCCTCTTTTATATAAGTTTAGGTTTCCTATGGCAAAGTGTGAATATTGAGAAAGTACTGAATTTTTAGAGTAACAGCCGTGTTAGTCTGTATCCGCAAAAAGAAGAACAGGAGTACTTGTGGCACTGCCACAAGTACTCCTGTTCTTCTTTTTACTGAATTTTTGGTATCTATTGAAGTGCCCTATATTAGAACTCATGTTTAAAAAAATTAGAAGATCTAAATCCATTTTTCAGTCCATTGAACATACAGTACCCTATCCTGAGTTTTATTTCAAAATGAGAAGTTATTAACATGTTCATAGCTACAGGCCTATAATTGTAGAAATTAAACAAATGATCAGAGAAAAAATATAAAATTGGAGTATTTTCAGAAAAAGAAGCATGGAATACCCCAGAAACTCAGTTTAAAGATATACTCTGTGTTACTACTTAATATAAAAAGTCATGTCTCTATGACAAATAGATTTTAATTTATTGTACTAAAAAAAACTTTAACAAAATAATGCATTTAACAGTGTATTGATTTATGGTGTTGCAAAGCTGATTGCAAATGGTAACTCATAGAACCATTAGTGGTGGCAGTTTATAGGAATCATAGTACATATTAGAAGCTTCATGTTTAGTTTTAGCATTATTTTCTATCTTAACCCAGCAAACTGCTCAATATATTCTCTAGTCTAGTGCATACTTTAAAGTAGTTTTCATACATTCATGCTACTTTTCTATTTGGATTAGGTTGGGATCTTTCAAGGCTGATCCTCCTGTACCGAGGCAACGGATTGAGAGGCAGAAAAGGAAAGCAGGAACAGAAGAAAAAAGGGCAATGCCTGCTCAGGTTTGTAAAGTAATATTTGCAATAATCATTTTTGACAGCATAGCTATCCTAAGTCACTTTTTTTTAGTTTGTGAATTATCTATGTTTTCTCTGCCGCTATGGCTTCATTTAAAATGCTACAGTGGCACAGCTGCAGTGGTCAGGATTCTCCCGTTGCTGTAATTAATCCACCTCCCTGAGAGGTGGCAGCTAGGTTGATGGAAGAATCGTCTAAACTACATCTCTCAGGGTTGTGGATTTTTCACAACTCTGGGAGACTTAGGTGATGTGGTTGAAGTAGGAGATGATCAGGATTTTACGGAAGTATCTAATCTCTACTACCTGTATTTTCCGTTCAAGTTCTGCCGTAAGGGTCCATGTCTCGCACGCATACAGAAAAATGGAGATGACCAATGCGTGCAGTAGTTTCAGTTTGGATTCCAGGGAGATGTTCTTATTCCTCCAAATTGGCTTCAGCTTTGCCACTGCTGCTTTAGTATACCTCTCTTTATTATAAATAAGACATCTGCAAAATCACATTACCTCATTTGTCTCTTGCTAGGAGTAATTTCAAGTCCGTCATGACTTTTCTTAAGTAAATGTAGGACCTTTATATCAATATAGGTCAAAGAAAACCTTAAGCAACTGTCCATTTCAGTAATAACAAGCCCCCTCCTGCCCATTAAACTGATTTTTAAAGTTTTAGAAGTTTATGCACCAGCAGAATCCTCCCAATTCCTCAACTAGGAAAAACAAATGGGCCTTACAATAAGTCCTGGAAATTGATAAAACTGGAACTCTTGAGATGGACTGGAAGACGGGGGGAGTACGTTTCCAAAGCACCTGCTAACTGTCTCCTTTCTTAAATAAGTGAGCTGCAGTTCAGGTGCCACTGTGCGTGGCAAAGAGAGAAAGGTAGTCTTTTCAGATAAATAGGTTCCAGGCATTTGACATAGTCAACTGTTACGCATATTGTGTTCAGTGACAGCAGCCTTTTATTACTCTGTCTTCTGGTTTTTTATGGCCAACTGCAACAATTCAGAGCTGATGTTTTCTTTCTGCCTAGAACTAAAACTTGTCACTAAAAGAATGATTTAAAAAAAAAGTAGAAAAATGTTTTTCTGTATAATGTTGGTTTACAGCAGGATAGATGCATGATTCTTGTATTTTTTTTTTTTTTTTTTTTTCTCCAGTTGAAGAAAATGGAGGAATCTCATCAGGAAGCCACAGAAAAAGAAGTAGAGAGGATCTTGGGATTGTTACAGACCTATTTTAAAGACGACCGTAAGTATGCCTCCAATTTAGCTAAAATTTGCACTAACGGAGGTTTGTAATATGCTACATTAATTACACTTTGGAAGCTAGGGAATGAGACTCTGCTACTACATTAGTAACTAATGAGGTCTAGCATCCCAGTGTGTCCTTCTTTGCTGGGGAGGAGATTTGGCTTGTAGACTTAAAACTCTGGGCACCTTCTAAATGCTGTCTTTTTGCGGTCTCCACAGTGATTGTACTGTATTTATGGCCTTCTGCAGTTGCAGCACTTAGCCCGTGGAGCTATTGTTTCTGTCTGCAGACTCAGAAAGACATGGCTTCACATTTGGAACAATAAGGACTAGAAACTTGATATTTTTAAATGTAAGCTTGGGTTCTGCTGAAACTGATGGAGGTCACTAAAGAAATGCAGGTATGGTAAATGGCAGTGAACCAGTTCAACTAATCTCTTGACTCTAGTCAAAAATAGGGTATTAGAAAAGTTCTTCTAGTCTTTTTTTATTTTTATTTTTAAACAAGGAGATGATAGTTGGCTCCTGTCAGTTAACTTTGTACAATATCATAAGTTATGACCAATGATGCAAACTGTTGAGACCTCATCCACAATTTGTTTTTTGAGGGGACATTAGTTAGGTCTCTACTTGAATTTCAGCCAGTGTCACTTATGAGATTTTGGATGTGTTGAGAACTTTTTTTTCTATGACTTGTTATTGCCTTGGCTAGCAAAGGCCAGTGGGGGAAAAACTGAATCCTTCACTGATGGCATCTGACAGTCCCTCAGTTAAGGGAGTACAAAATTCCAGTTGGCCTTAAGGAAGAGTGTTTTGGGGCCTGTGTTCTAGAAACCAGCCCTTGGTGTTGAGTCTATTCATTATCAAACTGCATTTAATCTTTTATTTTTGGTTAAGATTATTATTATTTGGATTGTTATGATGTGATCGTTTTTACAGCATATGGATTTCTTTGACTTATTTGATCTTTGCCAATCTGGGTTTTGACCTGGAGAAGGCAAGACTGCAACTTGTGCTGCTGGTCGATGATCTTCTCATAACATCGTCAACATAACTTTTATCCATCTTTATCTATCAGTTGCCTTTGTCAGTGTTGATCTTGAGGTGGTGGTAACTCTCATTCAGACAGGAGTGGGAGTAGATAAGTCTACCTTTCAGTGGCTTCATTCTTTCCCTTCTGAGATCCCAGAGAGTAGTTTCATGCAATTGCTCTTCTGCCCCAAAGATGATTTTGTATGGTTCTGCAGGATTCTACTTGGTCACATTTCCTGTTAGATGTGTACATGTAGCAAGGAAATATGTGGTGTCTGAATATGATAATGACACCCAGTTTTCTGTCTACGTTTTGTCTGATCCAAAGGGCATACTTGAGCATGTGTTTCTGGCAAGCTAAAAATTTGGGCATGGATGATGGGAAGCTAGCTGAAACTGAGTTTGCATAAGGTAGAGATGAAGATGGTAGACCACTGAATCAACCAGAGGATATAGCAAAGATTATTTGCCTCTTTGAAGATTGTCACTCAAATTCACTTTTTAAGAATTGTCTGATTCCCAACTGCATTTAGATGATATAAATAACTAGGGCTGCATTTTCCAGTCTGTCTGGTCAGGAGGTTGCGACCTTTTATGATTTATACAGACCTTTCTATTGTGATACATGCCTTTGTCACCTCAACATTAAGCCATATACTCTCCATGGGGCCACATCTTTAGTTCGCTAAAACTGAAGCTAATGCTGAATGCAGCTCTTCACTTCTTAAGCAGATGTCTCGCTGCAAACGTGCAGTGACAGTACTTGGAATTTGCATTGGCTGCCTATTGGCTTCTGGCTGGAGATAAAGGTGGTGATTTGGACCTGAGAAGCCCTAAATAGCTTGGGCCCTGCCTGCCTTCACCTGAGATTGACACAGTTTGGGTAGTGAGGGTTGTTGAAGCTGGAGCTTACTTGGTATTTGAGAGGACCCTATTGGCAGGGCATTCTGAGGGCCTTTCAATTTTCCCATTAATTTTCCCATCTCGATTGGAAATAATCTGAATTTGTTGACATCTAGAACTAAGAGTAAGTCTACTGTTAGACTTAAGTGTGGTGGGGGGTGATTCCCAGCTCGAGGAGACATACTCTCATCAAGCTAGCATACTAAGAATAGTAGTGTAGCCACAGTAGCATGGGAAGTGGTGTACTCAGGGTGGCCAGCTTTGCCCTGCCCATGCTACTTTGGCTACGCTATTATTTTTAGTGCACTAGCTCAATGACAGCTAGTGTGAATATGTGTACTGGAGCTGGGAATCACCCCCAGCTTCCAGGATAGACCTAGTCTAAAAGCCTACCAGTTTGGAAGGCTAAGGTGGATAGATTTGAGGGTTTTGTCAACTCAAAGGTTGCTCCCAATACTTCTGTTAGTCTTAAAGGTGCCACAGGACCCTCTGTTGCTTTTCAAAGGTGTGGAGTTTGTGCTTTCTGTCAAAGCAGAGATGAGGATGTTTAAATATTTGTTATGCTTGGCTATTTTTTATGCTTGGAGTAAAGGGGTGCAGGCACTTTGATCGCTGGTCTCCCATTGTTGTTTTTGTTTCTGTTATGGATCTGTGTTTTTAATTTGTCATGCATCTAGAATCAGAGAGCGGTGTGTCGGTTTTCATTTTAAATAAACAAATATACCTCTACCCCGATATAACGCATTCGGATATAATGCGGTAAAGCAGTGCTCTGGGGGGGTGGGGCAGCGCACTTTTGGCGGATCAAAGCAAGTTTGATATAATGCGGTTTCACCTATAACGCGGTAAGATTTTTTTTGGCTCCCGAGGACAACATTATATTGGGGAAGAGGTGTAGTTCTTTCTGTCACGTTCTGCAGGCCTCAAAGACTAATATTTAGGGTGGGAGGAAATCACTTAAACATTTTGCTGTTTTGGCTTCATCTCATGTCTTGCCTTGGATGCTGGGATCCCGATCAGGATGCAGAATCTACAATTTTCAGATTTGAATGGGGAAACTGATTGTTAGTTTTTTATCTTGTTGTTGTTTTAAAGTTTTTTGCATATGCAATAAATATGCTGATTGTGGACACACTTTTGCCAGTAGTATATTAATATATTTGTATAAGAACATTTTAGTAGTATTGATCATCTATATTATATAGATATATCATCTATATATCTCCTACTAGGCTTGCAGGGAAAACATATGTTTAAAAAAAAAGTGTACTTAGGATGCATAACTGGGAAACTTCTTTTAACAAGACTCTAGGCAGAGAGAGTTCAGAGCCTTTAATTAAATGTCTTTTGGTCTCCTACCACCCCTTTCCTTTCCTTTCCTTTCCTTTCCTTTCCAACATATAGCCATTCCAACAGAGCAGGGCATGTTAGCACTTATCTTGCAGGAGTGTTCTTAATCCCTTTCAGTGTAGGGTCCCATGCAATGGCAAAGTTCTCTAGATAAGGGCAGGAAAAGGTCCATTTTAGAACAATTAATGGAAGAATGTTTCTTCCATTAATTGAATATTGGGGGTTTCCTAGCAAAAGAATACAAAGCATTCCCTCTTTCTAGAAGAATGCCATACTCCTTTGGAGTGAAAGGTTGATCAATATTTGAATTGTGATCTCCAAAAACAACAACAAAAAATTAATGAAACAATGACTATTTTAACTCCTTTATTTCATTTCAGGTGTATGTGGGGAGGTGGGACGTAGTGGGGAGAAAGGTTGTGGTTTTTTTTAAACAGCATATTACACCTATTACACTTGAAAATGTATTAAAATTGTTTCACATGAGAACAGTTAGATATATAACAATTTGCTTAAGCCCTACATCGAATATTATCTCTCTTAAATTAGCATTTACATCTCTGCTAGCTTTATGTATACCATTTGTTTTATAACCACTGTTTTCTTATGTCTATAGCCAATATACCTATTTCCTTCTTTGATTTTGTGATTGATCCAAGTTCTTTTGCACGCACTGTGGAAAACATCTTTCATGTGTCCTTCATTATAAGGGTAAGGAGTAACTTGGTCTTCAAATCTTACATGTATACTGGAATGATACAAGAAAACCAGAATATTTGTTTGTTTGTTTGTTTATTGTAATTGTAGCTGCTGTTTCCAGTTTTGGCTAGGTGGTATATTTTTGCTTCTGGGACAGGATGGTGTGGGAATACAGGTCTAACATTTGATACTCTGGAGTCCAACTCTGCCAATAAAATTTTCACAAGTGCAAATCAAAGTGTTTTGAAATCTCATTCTTTTCATTAGTCTAATAGAGAAGTTTTAATAGATTTCTGATAAAAGACAATAAAGCATAGATGGATTTTACATGGTCACCAGAACCCTAAGATAAAAGTTGTGGTGGATTGATTTAAATTAAAGCTATATAAATCAGCAATCAGGATTTTTGATCTTGTTTTGCATTTATACTTTAGTTACTGTCTTAAAGGTTAATTCTCATTGGTCAGTACTTGTTGCTAACAGGAGGATACACTATAACAAATACACATCATTGCTTAAATTAAGATAGTTTAACATACATTTTTAAAATTAATTTTTACATTTATATTAGAAAATGGTGAATGATGCTTTTTTTTATTTACTGGGTTGTTTCAAGCTTCATTTGAATTAAAATCTGTTTTTAAAAAATTAAATAATATGTTTAGCACTTTTAAAAAAAAATTCTTTAGTTTTATTAATGTCTATTTTGCGTTTATAAGTATGGTTTATGCATTAAGCCTGGGACTTGTACCCAGAAACTCCTGAGATCTAATCCTTGCTCTGACACTGACTCATTGGGTGGACTTGTCCATGTGGTTTATTGTCTGCGTAGATCACCTGTGGGCCACACGCAGCCCGTCAGGGTAATCCGCTGGCGAACCGCGAGACAGTTTGTTTACATTGGCACAGCCGCCCGCAGCTCCCAGTTGCGTGACAATGGGAGCTGTGGGAAGTGGCGACCAGCCACTGGTGTAGATGCATCTGGTTGTGAAATCAGCCATTTACCACCTACAAAGGGGTTTTGAGGGGTTTTTTTAGTGTGTGTTTGTTTGTAAAGCATTTTAAAGAACTAAAACTTTGTGTAAGCACTTACATTATCTTGACTATATTTTTGTAAATTAATCCTCCATTGATCTGTGAAAGTGCTTTGCCCCTTTTGCCTAATTTCAGACCTGAAGTATGGAGAACCAAGCATTATTCTTCACCTGAATGACATTGTCCAGCAAGAAATAGGAATAATGCAAATGTGGTGGTTTTTTTTTTCTTTCTTTTTCTTTTTAAGCTGCTGGTAAATATATCAAGTTACCACAGTCTCAGGACTGTGGAATATATTGGAATAGTAGTTGAATTGTTTTTAAGCTGAGTTTTAAGTGCAAAAGCCTGTAATCGCTTAAGAAGACCATATTTTCCTGCCCATGTGTTTTAATGGATTTAATTCTGTAGTTGACACCTTTTTAATTCCAAATGCCCCATTTTTATATCCTTATAACTTCACTTAAGTATTTTGCTTTGGGCTGCAATACCTCAAGTTTGTTCTCTGCCTAAAGTTCCCTCTCTTGCAAAGTTTTAGCATATAATTTTATTAAAGGTTTTTTCAGTGGTTTAAAAGTATCCAATCTAGTTCTCAAATCTTTTCAGGACTACTGTGTGTTCAGGTAACCTACTTTCTTAATTCAAGTTTGGCATGTTTGCTGAATTTGAAAAAAATACCTTTCACTGATTACAAAGAAAATTTGAAAATGAATGAATGAAAATATAGTTTTCATTATCGATTTTTAAAATGCTTGTGGTGTAATGACCAAGGGACGTGTGTCCATACTATATTCATGTTATGGTTGAGATTTTATAGATACTTGTTCAGAAGTTCAGTTATGTCTCCCTTAGCAACTGTAAATTTTGCACTCCTGTGAATATGTAGGAAGTATGTACTGTATTTGCAAGAGGCTTAGTTATTGTTGCTCTGGTAACATAACTAAGATTCTTGATGCAAGAATATATGTACATTTCCACTGATATAGCATTGCAAAGTTAGTCATATAAATGAATGAAAAATGTGTATCTGTTTAAAAGAAAATTGTCATTGTCTATTTCAGTGTTTTATATCATCAGAACAGTTGTAGTTTCTGTAATTCTAAATCAAATTGTATTGCATTCTAGGATGGCTTTGCAAGAATAAAGCTGGATCAGGACAAACTGCCAGTAATAGGTAAAATACATTTAACTTTTTAAAAGACAGACAAATTACTCAAGCACCAAAAGAGCTTGTGTATCTAGAAGGTGTATAGGTCTTTTAACCAATAGATTTAGGATTTGTAACTCAAGACCTGACCATGACCCATTGCCTTCAGTGGGCATTGCTTTTGTCCCTATGTGGTATCTGCTCTGTAGGCCTGATCACATAACCCTTACTTATTTGAGTAACTGTAGGATTGGGCCATGCATCTTTCAAAGTATTGCAAGCAAACAGAAGCACTATAACTTGCATTTGTTAAAATTAAAAAAAATAAATTAATGGAGATATCCCATCTCCTAGAACTGGAAGGGACCTTGAAAGGTAATTGAGTCCAGCCCCCTGCCTTCACTAGCAGGACCAAGTACTGATTTTGCCCCAGCTCCCTAAGTGGCCCCGTCAAGGATTGAACTCACAACCCTGGGTTTAGCAGGCCACTGCTCAAGCCACTGAGCTATCCCTCCCCCCAAAATGTTAAATGAGTCCTTTAAAGATTACGTTAGTTTCAAACCAGTACTCTTATGCTGCTGGACGACACCCCCCCCCCCCCCCACACACACACACACACAAAGAAGAAAAAGGCAATTCATGGGCTTTGGTATACAGGCCACTGAAGTTGCTAAAAAGGTTGCTACTAACTTCAGTAGGCTGCAGATCAGGCCCTATATGAACAAAGAACATACATAAGAATGGTCATACTGGATCAGACCAAAGGTCCATTTAGCCCAGTGTCCTGTCTTCCAACAGTGGCCAATGCCAGATGCCCAAGAGGAAATGAACAGAACAGGTAATCATCAGGTGATCCATCCCCTGTTGCCCATTCCCAGATTCTGGCAAAAGAAGCTAAATTCTGGCTAAAGAAGTATCTGTCAAAAAAAAAACAACCACCAGAAAATGGAAATTTAATCCAAGTGAACCTAATAGAAAGAAGTATAAATTATGGCAGGTAGAAAGTAAGATGAACATTAGCAGAGCAAAGAGAATTTGAAGAGAAAATAGTCTGCAAATAACAAAATTCTTAAACATAATAGACAAAGCAGGAAGTCTGCAAAAGGAAGCCTGCAAAAGCAAAGCAGGAAGCCTGGTGTGTTTTCTAGAATGCCAAGGAAAAAGAGGGCAATTGAGGATAAACTAAACAATTTTCTTTTTAGTCTTCACAGAGGGTGATGGGGGGTATATCTACCTCAGACCTTCATTTTTTAGGTAAAGTATTAGTCCTGGAACAAATTGGTAAAGAGCAGTAAGTTACATGGACCAGATAGTATTAATCCAAGAGTGCTAAAAGAATAAGAAGGAAGTTGACAGTGGCAAGCAAAAAATGCAATATCATTAAAGTCGGCTACCGATGACTGGAGAACTGAAGGGGAGCAGATGTCATATAAAAGACAGTGGGAGTGATCCTGGGAATTACAGACCAGTGAGCCTTGCATCAATACCAGGAAAACTGATTTAAAACAAGAATTAAGAACAGAATTATAAGCACCTAGATGGTAATATTGTAGGGACAAACAAAGTGCATCACTTATAAAAGATAATTGTGTCTAATCTAAAATTTCCTGAGCACGTCATCATTCATTAGTAAAGGAGAGTTAGTTGACATGAATTGAGAAAATCCTTCCTAAGAGGATACACCTCTACCTTGATATAATGCGACCCGATATAACACGAATTCGGATATAATGCAGTAAAGCAGTGCTCCGGGGGGGTGGGGCTGGGCACTCCGGTGGATCAAAGCAAGTTCGATATAATGCGGTTTCACCTATAACGTGGTAAGATTTTTTGGCTCCCGAGGACAGCGTTTTATCGAGATAGAGGTACTAGGAGAACATGAGGTGTGAGGTAAAATTCTGTAATGGATTAGAAACTGAAATGTGGTAATAAATAGGTGAAGTTTTAAGATGGCAAAAGATATATATTTTGACTGAAACAGTTTGGCAGATTTCACACAAATTCACTACCAACTACCGAAGTTAAGAGAATGTCTTGTTTTTTTTGTGTAGCATCTGGTACTGATCTGTCAGACATAATTCTGGACTAGATGGGCCACTAATTTGATCTGATATGGCAATTCTGATTTTCATGAAGGGTACTATAACACTTGACATGCCTTTCTAACCGTATGGGTCCTAAAAATGTGGTATTTTGAACAGAGCCTTCACATGAAGAGGAAGGTAGAGAAAATGACCAGAATGCCCAAGTACGGAACCAAGCAGTCATATCTTTGAGCCATCAAGACTGGAAGGTACAATAGATGACACTGCCTTTGCTTTAGTTGAAATTTAAAGGGTCTCGGAGAGCTGTGCTATTCTATGATGTGGAATCTCAAAGTAGTGCATCTTAGTTGTGTACACATCTTGGTATCAATACATATTGATCATTCGGGACCTTGGAAAACTAGTATGTACAATCAAATAGTTTCTTCCTATAGTGAGAGATGGAATGGAGACTTCATTCCAGTGCATGGGTGCCCTGTCACATTTATACTGCTTCCAATCTAAGGCTGTGCCGCTACAAACAACTTGCAATTACTGTACTACATAAAGGCCAAGTAGATATTAGAAGTAAGTCCAAATTGCTATCTGTTCCCCCTGTTACATGGTATTCAGTCATGGGGGGAGGGGGAAGGTGATGTTTCTGCTATTTATTGTATCCATAATCTGATTTAAAAGAATGTCCTACAGTGCACAAGATCAGGCTTATTTAAGTTCCTGAAGGTGGTATGAAACAATGATAGTGCTCCATATGGCGAAGTGCTAATTGTAAAAGCTGTCACATATGCACCCACTTTTCACAGGCTGGGTGTGCAGAACTTGGTGATCTGAAGTTTAATTTGACAGACCTCCAAGTGATTTTATTTTTAAATATACCTTACGCAAAAAGAGGTTTTTGGCACATGGAACTCCCATTCCTCTTCCTCCCCAAGTTGACCTAATCATTTTGGTAAGTGCTGAAATGTGAGAGCCCGGTGTATTTCTAATGCAACTAATTGTTTTGTGTTTAAGTAGTCACAGTAGTGTAATAAACTTTTTTTTTTAATCTTACTTTCTCTGATCAGGACATTGTAGAAACTTTTGAAATCACAGAACCTATGATTCCCCCTCCTGGTATCAGCCAAGAAAATGAAAGTAAGTATTTGTCAGAAGACTTCTTCATAGTTCAATCCATATTTTTTTTTATGTATTTGAAAGAATTGTAGAGAAATTACTTATCATGCTTGTATAATCCATATAATTTAATATGTTTAATGTAAATACTTGAAATTGCATATTTGTTTGGGGTTTTTCCCCCTTAAGTATACTTTAAAGACCACTTTAATTTAGGTGAGCTACTCTGGATATTGCAAAGTGTTGAATTACAATGATGGGTGCTGTAGAAAAACCTGAGTATGACTGTATTCTTTGTGGATCAAAAGTCTCTGCTTATACATCTTCTAAACAGCAAAGAGTTGAAATATGTGTATTTGAACATTTGATGGCCAGCTAGTTTTTTGGTTTTCAAAACTTCATATTGATATTTTAAATGTAATGCTGTGAATGATCATGGTTTAGTTTATATAATTTTTAATTTTAAAAAGGACAGTTGATAATAAGGGATAAAATATTCTAAGGGCATCTTAAAATACATCTATGGAATTTATTTTTTAGGACTAGAATACATGAAGGAGCAATGATAAATGCAGTGCAATAAGGGTTAGGTGATATTGAACTGTCTCTTAAAATGTTCTTTATTTCTTTTCTAGGTTAGGTGCCGTGAAGAAAAAATGTGTTTTAAAATATTCAAATAAGTTTTATATGTATATACTGTATGATAAAATTTATTTTTTGATGAGAACACTAGTTTAAATTCGATGCTTTTTATATAACAAGCTTATTGTATCTTTTTATTTATACATGTCATTTACAGTAGTATAGGTTGTCATGATACATAAGGCATTTTCATCCTATCATGATTTTCTTTAATAAAGTCCTTCTGTAATGTTGACTGTTTTTCCAATTTTTTATACAATAAATATAGATAGGGATGGCCCAGAATACACAGTCTGCACAATGACTGCAACTTAAGTTCCATTTGTGGTTATTAGTGATTGTTATTGATACTCTGTACTTGATATGGAGGTGGGGCATACAGGAAATAGGTGGTTTAGAACTCCTTACTGGGAGCTTTAGACAAATGTTGGTGTCACAATTGAAGTGGAATGAGAATGAAATGAATATAAACACCAGGGGAAGAAACAAAAAACTTACCAGATTTTGATCTTCAATGTAGTATCAGGGGAATGTTTAGAGGCTGGTGGGTTCAGACCTGTTGCTAGTAACACTTCCCCCCCTCTCTCCCTTTTTGTCTTTTTAACTTCCCTGCTTTAAATAAGTTGACTTAGGTCATGCCAATAACTTAATCAGTATTTTTCTGAAGACAGAGCTTCCTTTTCTTACAAGGGATATTTTTGATGAGCTTAGGGGTTTTTTCCTCTTCCCTTCTACTTTCTGTTCTTTCCCACCCACTTATTGTTACATCTTCAGCTTTGTCTGATGCTGTTCTCCATTAGCACTCTGTTTTCTGGTGTATGATGTGCTGAAATACCTTGGGTGATGTAATAACCTCCTCTGCTAGCTTTAGGTAGTGTTGCCTCTGGTTTGAACATTTATGGGCAATTTATTGGATCATTAGGCAGATTGAATTAGGCGAGGAAGGAGTTTACTCCCATGCAGGTTGAATGCAACAATTTCCTGCTTTTAGCAGGGTGCTGCATTAAGGCCCTGATTCAGCAAGCTATCTCTATTCAGTGAGGCACTTCAGCATGTGGTAAGATCCCATTGACTGTAGTGAACGTAAGCACATACTTGAGTTATTTGCTGAATTGGGACCTAAGTTTTGAATGGATTCACTTCAGCTACTCATTATACAGTAGGTGTTCAGTGGGTTTTGATGGGCCTTACAAGAGAAAATTGCAAGTTTCTTGAAATGTTACACCTCTGGTGCAGTTTTCCGCCCCAATATTTGTACAGATTCTTCCCTGGTTTTGGAAAGGTTTCACTTTTGCCACGTGTTGTAATGCTCACTCATACTATACGCTGTTTGTTTTATCTGTCAGCATTTAACCTGCAACTGTAGAGTAGAGGCGAGGAGTGAGATTGATAGAGGATATTGGAAAAAGGAATTAAAACACAGGGAAATAAAGAGTTAAATAGGATAGTGTTTCACTCACTGACATGGGGGGGGGGCGTGAAGGAAAAGAATCAGAAGAAAAGGGAAATGAAATAAAGGTAAAAGAACAAAAGTAAGGAAGAAACAGCAGTAATCACTTCCTTCTATTGAGATTTCTATGAAATCCTTAGAACAAGAGGTGCCTTTGGTTATTTAAAAAAAAAAAAAATCACCTGAGCTCACAAATACTGAATGTCTCAAAAGGAACTGTCACCAGCTTTGTCAGACACTGGTCTACCTTCAACTACTAGTTCCTGATAGGCCAAAGAAATTGCAAAATGCACATGGAGATTCTTTAAACTAATATCCAGTAAATAAACAGCCTTTTTCAGGGACAGGGTACGATGTACATGGGCATATTTGTATCTCACTGCCAAACTTTTCTACATGCAATTCTTATTAATCTTGTAGGTGACTCAAGAATCCAGTGCTCCATTCACCTGCTTGAAGGCCTGTCCTGTTATAAGCTACGCTGTCAGAGATGGCTCCTGGGTTGGGGTGGAATGAGATGCTCTGGTGGTGGAAAAAGGATTTGAGGCTGGGATCAGGTTTGGTTAGCTGCAAGAGAGCTGAGAAACATTGGCCTCCATGATCATGATGCCATGGTGATTATCAGCTCCTTGTTTCTCCTAATCTTTATCAGGACTTTTCGTATTGAAGCAGTGGTAGAAAGGCACCTAGGATCCTCATTCCTCAATGGAAAGAGGAGACATTGCTTGTTATTGCAGTCTTTGTTGTTTGAGCAAAATTGCTACTACTCAAAAGAATGACTAAGAGATCCATCCACTACCAAAGAATACCTCATCAGAAGAATTATGAGATTGAGCATGCAGCAACTCAGTTTGTCTTCAATTCTACCCTCATAGAAGTTGGTGTGTTTAAGGCTTTAAAGGGGTCCCATAATCAAAATTGCCTTTTGCTGAAGGAGAAGGCAGCATCAGAAAGAGACATGAGGGACACTTGCAGAAGTGGCAGGTGAGGGAGCCAGTGTTGTGCTTGATATGTTTGTACGTGGCAGCTGTGAACCTCCTGTGAGGGCAGGAAAACTCTAATTCCTTTCTTCTCTCATTATGGGGAACCTCCTTAGATTGCTAGGGGCCAAGAGAACAGGCATGTTCAGTGCATGCAGAGCAAGACAGGGCTGAAAATGGGAAAAGGTGGTGTATGTCACAAATACTCCATGTTGGAGGGAGTGAAACTGGAAATGGTCAAGCTCCGTGCATAGCACAACTGCCTTACAACCCCCTAATACTGGGGAACTCTATGCTTGCACCAAACCCATGGTGCTGTGGGCAAAGAGACTAGTCCCACTTTTACAAAGGAGAAATTCATTTCACATGAAGTTTAATGTGGAATTAAAGTTGCTTCTACTCAACTGCTTCCTGTGCCTCACTCCTCCTACCCTTCCCAATATGAGTTTAATTCCAAAAACTCCAGCATTAGAAAAGGAAAGATATATAGAGTACAGTCTTTTTTCTACAAAAGGAGAGCATTATAAGGAAAAAAACCCAACCAGCCAGCAAACGTGTTGGAAAACCATGAGGTGCATAGTTAAGGTGATATCTCCTCCTAACTCTTAGATATTTGTAAGAACAGTAAGTGAAATTTTAGGCATAAATTGATTCTTTTAAGTTAATGTCCCTTTACAGCCCCTGACTTGCTCAAAAATAGGTTTAGTAACCGGAAAAACCTTTCATAATCATGGCAGAGTTCATGCTTCTAACCTTCCACGACATACATCTTTTTTTATTTATCCCACACTAAATAACAAACATTGATTGTTTTGATCATCTTGCCCTAAATCTTGCATTTACTATAATCATGTACTAAACATTTTATTTAAGTTCTACAGCAGAGCGTATGACTATTAGTTAGCTGATAGTGGTAGTAATGGGTTTCATGAAAAGTGCCATCTGGGGGGCTAATCCTATGGCAGGTGCACTACCTTCTTTGTTTTGCTTCGTTTAAAGTAATTGAACACACACCTAGGCAGGGCTGTGATCCAGCTGAGAACGTTTTATAGCCACATGCACCCCTACATCCACCCAGGCTTCCAAGCCATGAATTTTCAATCCCCGGAGCAAGTTCTTGCGGCGGAGCAGCTCCCATGAGTTGAACGGCGCTCGGAAACATGTGCAGAAGCCCAGCCTCCTGCACCCTCACCGCAGCTATAATTCCACACAGCGCGACACCTGCTAACTCCCAAAATGCACGAAATGGGTAAATGCTTGGCAGATGGGTCCTATGCACGTGGTGGAGCAGCTGCGACCTTTTCCCCCCGTGGAGTGGCGCTGCAGGGCGCAGTCCGTAGCCGGGGGTGAGCTAAGCAAGCTCGGGCGGCTGTGCACGATGCACTGTACCGTAGTGGAGTACAGCGGCTGCAAGGAGGGTTACCCGTGTGGCTACTGCGCCTCCGCCCAGGGGAAAGTCTCCATTGGTAAGTGGGTAAAGGGCTGGGCTCGAAACCAGCCCTGCAACACAGGCTCTCGCAAATGCCGAACAGGCAGCCCCGATCTTCATGCACTGCCTGCGCGGGAGCAGGGCGCAGCCCTCTCTGACTGCTGCTACACGGGCAGAGGTACAGCTTGCCCAACAAAGGCTGGGCACCCCGGTCTGTGCCGGAGACCTGAAATACCGCTGGAAAACGGGGACCCCCTTAGCGGCACTTGCCCTTAGTAAAGATGGCGGAGCTTGCGCCCACCCCCGTTCTCCTCGAGGAAGCTCCGGTGCCCTTAGTAAAGAGGACGGACCCGCCCCCTGTATTTCTACTGGAAAACATGTGGGCTGCCTTTAGTAAACATGGCGGAGTTTATGACCGTGTTCCTTCCTACGGTGACGCAACCAAGCCGGGCTTGCCCATCACCAAAATGGCGACGACGGCTGCTTCCGGGCTCCCCGGGGTCGCTGGTAGGGTTCCAGGCGCGGCGCTGCCCTGAGCTGGGGGTCAGTGCGGACCGTGGGGAAGATGGCGGCGGCCGACCGCTCCTCGAGCATCGTGGAGTACTTCGGGGGAGAGGCCGGCTACCGCTGCGGCTACTGCAAGAACGTGACTGGCAACCTCTCCCACGGTGCGGGCCGGGACCTCCCCGGGGGTGGGGGCCGGGGCTGGCGGGTAGGACATTGGGCGCGGGGAGATGGAGGAGTAGCCGGGGGGCGGGGGTCGGTTGCTGGAGCTGTTGGGCTGAGGGGAGGTTGGGCGGGCGGGCCGACCCGGAGGATACCCTATGGGGTGGGGTGGTGGGCCGATGCGGGGCAGTTAGGCAGGGTGGGAGGAACTGATGCGGGCAGTTTAGCAGAGGGGACTGGTTTGATTCTGGCTGTAGGACAGGGAGAGTTGCCAGTGTGAAGGGGACCGGGGGAGAAGAAGAGACGTTGGGACTGGAAGAGAGGAGACTCGGGAGAATGGGTGCTTCTTGGTTTGTTTTGGGCTCAGGGAAGCGTGGGAACCGGGGACATTCCTAGGTTGGCTGGTGGCAGAGGTAGGCTCTGAGGGTTAAGGTCCAGTAGCAACGTGTTCATATTAAAATGCCCTGGCAAAAGCTACCCCTTCTTCCCTTAAGCCTTTCTGTGAGCCTTGCTTTCCCCCTATCAAGCCTGCATCTGTGTAGAGTTTACATGTGTGTCAGTCACTCCCAAAAGTTTTAAAAAGATCTCCTTAAAGTAGGCTATGCCACTTTTAGCTGTGAGAGACATAGCATTTGTGTACTGAGGGTAGTTGGCATTCAGATTGATAGTCAGGAGAGGTATGGGGTGTGTCTGACAAAGCCAAACTTTCAAACCTGGCCTCTAATGTGGGTGCTTCCGTTTTTGGATTCCTAGCTTCAAAGAACCTAGATCTTGACATTGGAGATGCTTAGAACCCACAACTGAACTCAGTGGGAGCTGTAGTCACTGAAAAGTTAGTTACATAGGTTTGAAAGTGTGTCCCCTAACCCGTGTGGGCCTCAATTTGCCTATTCTTTACCACAGGAATAATATGTACTTATTTCATAAAATAATATTAATATTATTTGTGAAAGACTTTCAGCTCTAAAAAGGAAATATTTAAATATTGTTTTTACACTATTAATAGATGGGAATTTCATTATGATCATAATTTTAGTGATTTGTCTAGATGTACTTTTTGCAAGTATAAGTAGCTATTCAGTGCTGGGCAGTGTGAAACTGACAAGAATCATGTCAATTTCATGCAGCAGCTGCCAGGGCTTACAGGGTTTGTTATTGGGGGGCTACCCTGACATGTGGACTGCTCATTGCTGGATGCACAACAGGGCTTCTGTGGGAATTGCTGAGCCAGCCAGCCAGCCTGGAAGTCTAGAAGCCCAGGTATCTCTAGCCCAGGACAGTCAAAGCTGCAGGGCTGCCCCAAAGTCGCAAACCCTGGATGCCCATCTCAGGACATCTAGACTCCCGGCTGCAGAGCCAGGAAGCTGGAAGCCCTCAGGGTATGTCTGTGCTGCAGTTGGGAGTGAGTATCCCAGCCTGGGTAGACAGACTTGCACTAGTGGGGCCTGAGCTATTGAGCTAAAGATAGCAAAGTGGACATTATGGCTAAGGCTCTCAAGCCCACCCAACCCCGTAGGCCTGTGACTCTCAGCTGGAACATCCACGTAGCTATTTTAGCATGGTGGCTTGAGCTAGATATACCCTGAGAGTCCTGTCTTGAGCTGGTGTGATGGGTTTGGTCACAGAAACCCCCTTGGGACTGTCACCTGATGTGCTGAATTTGCCTCTGAGCCTGTTTTCCCTGCCAGCTTGGGACTTCAGAACCCTGCTTTGTTGAGCCAGACACACTAGCCAGCTGCAAACACAGACCCAGGTCTGGTCCATGCCCCCAAAGTTGCAGACTTGAACCAAAAACTGCTCAGCAGGTCACCTATCTCCAGCACTCAGACACCCAGTGGGATCCAAACCCAAAATAAATCTGTGTTACTCTGTATAAAGGTTATACAGGGTAAACTCATAAATTGTCCGCCCTCTATAACACTGATAGAGATATGCACAGCTGTTTGCTCCCCCAGGTATTAATCACTCTGGGTTAATTAATAAACAAAAGTGATTTTATTAAGTATAAAAAGTAGGATTTAAGTGGTTCCAAGTAATAACAGACAGAACAAAGTAAGTTACCAAGCAAAATAAAACAAAATACGCAAGTCTAAGCCTAATACATTAAGAAACTGAATACAGGTAAATCTCCCCCTTAGAGATGTTCCAATAAGCTTCTTTCACAGATTAGACTTCTTCTTAGTCTCGGCCTAATCCTTTCCCCGGTACAGTTCTTGTTAGTTCCAGCTCAGGTGGTAACTAGGGGATTTCTCATGACTGGCAGCACACTTTGTTCTGTTCCACCCCCTTTTATAGCTTTAGCACAAGGCGGGAATCCTTTGTCTTTCTCTGGGTTCCCACCCCTCCTTCTTAATGGAAAAGCACCAGGTTAAAGATGGATTCCAGTATCATGTGACATGTTCACATGTCCTGTGAACCCCCCTCCATTCTTCCAGGACTGGCCGCAGGTATGCAGTGGAGGCTTGCAGGTAAACAGAGCCATCTACACTTAATTGTCCTAGTCAATGGGAGCCATCAAGGGTCAAAACCACCATTAATGGCCTACACTTTGCATAATTACAATAGGACCTCGGAATGATACTTCATATTTCTAGCTTCAGATACAAGAATGATGCATTCATACAAATAGGATGAACACACTCAGTAGATTATAAGATTTGCAATGATACCTTACAAGAGACATTTTGCATAAAGCATATTCCAGTTACATTATACACCTCTACTCCGATATAACACGAATTTGGATACAATGCGGTAAAGCAGTGCTGCGGGGGGAGGGGCTGTGCACTCCAGTGGATCAAAGCAAGTTCGATATAACGTGGTTTCACCTATAACACGGTAAGATTTTTTGGCTCCTGAGGACAGCGTTATATCAGGGTAGAGGTGTATTCACACTTAACAACATTTTATAAAACATGGAGTGCAATGTCCCGCTAGTGGTGCTTGAGCTACTGAGCTAAAGATAGCAATGTGGACATTATGGCTCAGGCTCTCAAGCTCACGTGACCCCGTAGGCCTGTGACCTTGAGCTGGAACATCCACGTAGCTATTTTAGCATGGTGGCTTGAGCTAGAGATACCCTGAGAGTCCCGTCTTAAGCTGGTTCTTAGCCCTGTGTTCCCCAACCTTGGCTGCAGTCCACACAGTGGGGCTGTCCCAGAGCCACAGACTCTGGAAGTCCAGGCTCCTCAACAGCACACCAGAAAAATAGGCTGGCTTCTGATGGAGTTTGTCAAACCTGAGACATTTCTGTGAAATATTTCAGATTCAACATATTTGCATTTTCCTTTGAAACTGTTTGGCTGGAAAGTTCCTGACCAGCTGTAATGCTTCAGAACCAGAATTCCAGGGTTCACTCCCCACCCAAGAACACAGCATTAAATTCACATAAGTAGTTCTGCTGTTTTCAGGTAGACTGCTCTTGTAAGTAAGGACTTGTCTACATGGGAAAGTTATACTAGTGTAAGCTAAGCTGTGAATTTAAACTGATATACATGTGTGAACATTCTTGTTTTGGAATAAGATTGGCTTTTTTGGTTTAGCTTATGCTGCTTTGGAAGGAGTTTGATACCCCCTCCCCCTCAAAAAAGCCAACTTTATTCTGGAATTATACTGGTATAACTGATTAAACTTTCCTGCGTAGACCTGCTTTAAGGATCTGCAAGGTTAGGCCCTATACTGATAGCTGTCTGTGGTCATATTCTGTGCACTTGACCTAACCACCTGTACAGTTCATGCTATTTTATGGTCTGTCTTGCTTCTCTTGGCTTGAGGAGTGCTCTGTTTCTTGCATTCAGAGTCCCATTGTCAGGTAATATGGTACTAATTCTAATCTTTTCATGTTGGGAATTTGGAATCCTGTTTTAAAGTCCTTATCAGAACCACCACTGCGTTAGATACCGCCTTAACTGATAGCATAGTAGGCACAGGAAGAAACTTGGATAATCCCTCTCATTACTGTGTGCCCTTTCATCTGCATTTTGTTTTGCCATTTCTTTTGGTGTTAAGGGGCTGAAACTCCTGGTTTAAATCTGCATCAGGTGACCTTACAAATATATCCTGAGCTACTCACATCTAAGAGGTGGGGTATTTTGCTCCTACCCTTGAATGGCATCACCTTAAAATTGGGGAACTATTTGTGATTGTCTCTTTCAGACATTTGTCAGTGGGGAATTTGGGAAACTAATAAATATAACCAGATTATAAAGTCTGTTCTACATTTTATATGGATGTGTTTGAATAAAAAGCTAAAATGACAAAACACATAAGTATTTTAATACACTTAAATACAGTGACTATTTGACCGTAAAATGTTCTAAATTTAAATTAATTGGGATAATTGACTTTCAGTTTTACTTCAATCCTGTTTTCCATTGCCTGTTTTTAAATTGTCTCTTAACAAATTTCCCACTAAGTTTTCTCTTTATTCATTGAAATGGTTAATATGAAGTTTAGAAATATAAGAAACTGTTTCTCCAAAAAATTGTTAGAAGAAATCCCAAATTAATCTTTCAATAAGCTTTCAGCAGAAATTGCTTAAATTTTAATGTTTTAAAGATAACTGTGACAGTGTCCTGTTGTTCATTACAGGCATGTGGGCGCATTCAATGACGGTTCAAGATTACCAGGATCTTATAGACAGAGGATGGCGAAGGTAAATTAAGAAAAACAATCTTCAAAGGGATGCTGTCATCTTAAGCTTGGTCAAAACTTTACATTTTGTTTAAGGAAGAAAAAGCTTTCATAATACTTAAAACCAATAGAATATTTCACTAATTAGATCGAAAAGTGAAAACAGTTGTATTTAAACAAATACACACATTGCAGCACTGAGGAACTGAAAATGATTTTCCTTGTCCTACCTGATATAAAAGCAGTCTGCAAAAGTATAAATTATGCAGGTGAATTCGATTTTCAAAACTTTCACCAATATAGGTAAATACGTATTTATTTATAATATACTGTTTTTAAATTGTGTCCGTTTGAATTATCCTTAATACAAAAATACTTAAATATTTAATATGAGGCCTACTTTTTCCTTTGGAGATTGTGACACTAGATGACTTCCATCCTTTGACTAAGACTTGAAAAAAAGTGGGGGCCTAAAGTCAGGCTTTTAACCCTGTATTTAGTCTTTCAAATAAATGACTGGGTTTTTAAAAGTGCTGAGCACCCAGCAGCACCTGTTGACTTCAGTGGGAGCTGCTAGGCACTGGTACTTATGAAAATCCAACTATGTAATCAGATGACTAAATATGGGTTTAGGAGCCTAATGTTAGGCACTTCATTATTATGTCTTGGCTTTAATGTTTTAGAACAATACTGAAGTACTTTAGACATCTTGACAATGTTACTCTAATCCAGATAATCTGTAATAGCAAGAGTTGGGTCAAATTGGAGAAAGTTCTTTTCACAATTCCCCCTCCCCCCACGCCCTTCAAAGTTGGAAGATATAGATGTGCTAACCAACTCTAGCATCCCCCTGCATGGAGAAATGAATGAAGAGTATCATAGCCTTTAAAAATTGAAATATTTTAAAACATATCTGTAACATTCCTGTTATTAATGCTATGCAATAATTTATTTGTACAGTATGCGTGAAAGAACAAACTTTTTGTTTTGAAGAAAATGCAAGTTTTCAAGTACTTCTTGTTAGTAAATAAGAGAACTGCCATACAGATATGATTTTTATTCATGTGTCAGCTCTCAAAACTTTCATCAGAGAACTACTGGCCAGAATCTAACCCTTCTCGCTAGCGGCAGATATGAAAAAATACCCTATTGAGAATCCCAGCTCCCACTCCAATTGTCAAGAAAAGGAGTGTATTCTAGGACAGTTGTTTTCCAACTTTTTTTCTGGTGACCCAGTTGAAGAAAATTGTTGATGCCCATGATCCAACGGAGCTGGGAACGAGGGGTTTGAGGTGTGGGATGGGCTCAGGGCTGGGACAGAGGGTTGGTGTTCAGGAGTGAGGGCTGAGGGGTGGGGCTGGGAATGAGGGGTTCGGGATGTGGGAGAGGGCTCTGGGCTGGGGCAAGGGGTTGGGGTGCAGGAGGGGGTCAGGGGTCTGGGCTGGGGGTGCAGGCTCTGGGGTGGGGCTGGAAATGAGGGGTTTGGGGTACAGGAGGGGGCTCTGGGTTTCGGGGGGGTTCAGGGCCGGGGCAGGGGATTGGGGCACGGGCTTACCTCGGATGGCTCCCGGTCAGCAGCACAGAAGGGGTGCTAAGGCAGGCTTCCTGCCTGTCCTGGCACCGCGGACCATGCTGTGCCCTGGAAGTGGCCAGCAGCAGGTCCAGCTCCTAGGTGGAGGTGCGCAAGTGGCTCTGCGTGGCTCTCGCTCACAGGCCAATGGGAGTGTGGAGCCAGTGCTCGGGGTGGGGGCAGCGCACAGAGCCCCATGGCCCCCCAGCCTAGGAACCGGACCTGCTGCTGGTCGCTTCTGGGGCGCAGTGCGGTGTCAGAACAGGTAGGGACTAGCCTGCCCTTAGCTAGGCAGCACCGCTAACGGGACTTTTAATGGCCCGGTCGGTGGTGCTGACCAGAGCCGTTGCAACCCAGTGCCTTACGTTCTGCGACCCAGTACTGGACCGTGACCTGCAGTTTGAAAACCACTGTTCCAGGATTCTTACCAAGGTGCTATCTTTGAGTATTTTTGGAGATGCCATCTTTTGTATCAAACTTTGACTAGTGGGGACGGGGTAATAGATTTGAAGCTGAATTTCTGTATTTGAGGAAGAAATCATTGTTTCACCTCCCTCTGTCCCTTAACCCAGAGTCTTGTGGCTGCTGCAAGGAGGAATGCTACTTTACCTTTTCCCTAGCTTCTACTGTTTTGGTTTTTGTACTTAGTGGATACCAATACTTGCATCCACAGTTGCTCATAGTTTTCCCAAGGAGCAGTAGCAGAAGTACGGATTTGCAATGATCCTGATTCTTGTCAGTTTCACTGTTGTCCAGGTCTCTACAGTATTCATGAAATTGACCATTCTAACTTGTCAAGTCATTCCAACTTGACTTGGTTGTGGCTTGCAAAAGCTGTGAGCAAACAGATGACACTTGGAAGTATGGGTCTGGAGACTCAGAAAAACAGTCCTGTATCAGGAAACATATCTGCAATTATAAGAGCCATATATAACTTCCAAAAATAAGAAAAAAAACAAAAAAAAATAAACAAAAAAAAGGAATCTCACATTCTGTGGAAATTGTTAGTTTAGGCCCCTCCACTTTCCAGGATAAGCTTCCATGGTAATAGGCAAGTAGATTTTTCAAGCCCTATTCTGCTCCTAATTACAGGGAACTGGAGATCACTATAATTTATATTATAGTTAAGACACTTTTTAACAATCAGGTAGGAAGGTGTTGAAAAGTTCGATAGGGGATGGGGCTGTATGATCAAGATAAGAGTCTTTCATAGTTGTGTTTCTATGCCTCAGTTGGCATTATTGAAAGACCTAAATACGATTTGATAAAATTTGAATGTGGAAGTGCTTCGATGTAGCAGGTTAGTGAAAAAGGCTAAAGAACTTGCTATTTCAGTTTTGTTACTCTATTCAGTACAGGATTTTCATATTGCTTGCAGGAACAGTTTCATGTGTTTTTAGAACAACTTAGAAATTTCTGTGAATTAATTTTGTATTGTACTTATAACAAACATCATTACAAGTTTAATGAAGCATTTTATTATAATTTTTAGAAGTGGGAAGTATGTCTACAAGCCCATTATGAATCAAACATGTTGTCCTCAGTATACAATAAGGTAAGAGTTTATTGCATGTGAATAGTGCCTTTAAAGCTATGTTACAGCTAAGAGGAATAATTTAAAACATGATAGTAGTGAGGAAAAGTCATAACATCTAAGGCCACACATTTAAAAGTAACTTGGCTTGACTATTTTCAGTTGAGATCGTGGTCATACAAACATGGTTAGCCAGGGTGTCTTAGTTCCTCCTGCTTAAAATAATCAGTTGGATGGTAAACCTACTTTTGAATGGTATTGTGTTCTTTGAATGTTAAATAAGACATGTGGGTTCGTGCTAACTACGACAGGTTTCATAATCTCTTTCTATTTTCCTGCACCATCCAGTCATGAATGCATCCTGGCATATTTCATCTAGATTGCCAGCTCAGAGCAGCAGTTATGTGAAGGCATCCATGAAATGAGTTGTTGGTTGCAGGCTGGCTCTTAATGGATGTGTCTGCATCCTACAGGCACTCTTTTTAGTATCCTCAAAAGGGAATACTATGGATTGAATAGTGATGGAGAATGAACTACCTTTACTTCCTGATAATGGTGGTGGGTAGTATCAAGGAAGCTTGCATTGCCACTGCCAATGTAACTGTTCTTTGGAGAACTGGATGACTCCCAATAAGTTCTTTTCTCAAGCAATAAAACTCGCTTTATATTTTTTAATGAGAATGTACTCCTTTATCCATATACAGTTGTAAGAGTTTATAAAGGTGCATATTGTAAAGGCATCCATGTAACCTAAGGTCAGCAACTTGAAAATAATCCTTTTAATGAAGTAGTTGAGCTATAAATTTCTAGAGTTCTTTGTTTTCTTTGAACTATATTTCTTGTTTTAAAAAAAAAATATATATATAAAAATATTGGTTTCCTGTTTTAGATGTCAACCTTTACATTTTCAACCTTCCAAATCTCACAAGAAAGTTCTGAAGAAAATGTTGAAATTTCTTGCTAAAGGGGATTCTTCCAAAGTGGCTGGTGATGGTAAGAAATTCTTGGTCATTGAAAAAGTGTGAGGGTTATTCCCACAGAAGAGCTACTGTAGCCTACTATGTTTTTAGAAATAGTTCAGGCCCTGAAAGGGTCGTTGAAAGTTTAATAGGAGGTGTGGGGTAGGTAAGAAGTACTCTAATTTAAAACAAAACAAAACAAAACGCTAAAAACAAGATAGAATCTAGCCTCAGTGTTTATTGGTTGGATTCCAAATACTGTATCTTTACGACCTGTCCTTCATTGGCTACATTGCCCCAGGAGCAGACTAGGAATGAATTGTGACAATTCCTCCTGTGCTACTTCCTTTTCTGTTGAGGAGTAAGTTTAACTTTTTTTTTTTATATAGCAGCTTGCTTCCTCCACCATGCACCTGGCCACTTTCTAGCCCATGCACCTGGCCACTTTCTAGCTAGAGGAGTATCAGGCAAGCCTTGTCACACCCCTGCAACTGAAGCCACAATCTGAACAGGTTCAAGGGAGAGGTATTTGAGGGGCCCTTATTCCCATATGTGATTACAAGAGCCCCTACTCAATAAAGCTCTGAGAAATTTAAAGAAAAACAAAACTGGCTAATTTTTGTGTGAGCCTTTCAGTTATTTTGTACTTCCTCTATTGGCTCTGCCAAAGCAGGTTATTAGTATTAGTTATTAGTATGAGTATCTTTCTTGTTTGAAGTGAGATTAGTTGCGATTGTTCCATTTTAAGAAAGCAAACAGCTGTTATCATGGATGTGTGGCACAAAGAAGACATTTGATTTTTCAGGCTTCTAAGAGGGTATTGCAAACAAACAATAACTGTATTTTTTTTTATGTTGGAAAAAACTTGTAAAATTGGGAAAGTGCAACACTGTTTTGGATGTTGCCATGAGCAAAGTGTGAACTATAATTTATATAATGAAATTCAATCACACAATTTTTTCTATGCCACTTAAGCCTGTTGTTGGCTAGGCAGATGGAAATTGTAAAGATGGAGAGAGAGGATGTGTAGTGCTGTGCATGTTGTCTCTGGGACCACACTGCACAAGGTATTGTGGTATTGGAGTGGAGAGTATTGGTGTTTGCCAGTGTACATGAAGCACAAGTACATGAATCCAATTGTTACAGCCAGGGCTGGCTCTAGGCATCAGCTAAGGAAGCAGGTGCCTGGGGCGGCAAATTTGAAGGGGCGGCACTCCGTCCATTCTTGGGGTGGTACGCCGTAGTTTTTTTTTTTTTTTTTTCCCCCCTCCTTTTTCATTTTTTCTTCTTCGGCTGCACTGCTGCGGCCGCCTTTTTTCCCCCCCTTTGCTTCGCCGCTTGGGGTGGCAAAAAAGGTAGAGCTGGCCCTAGTAACAGCATAGCTCATATGAGTTAATGCAGGCTCTATTCCCATCAATAAGATAGAATAGCAGTCTGAGTTATAAGTAGTTTCAGGCCTAAATCTGCTTCTGAATCTAAGTTCCCCTTGATGCTGTGTGCATAGGCCCCCAGCTCCTTTGGAAGCTGACTGACTATATTGGGTGGAGAGGAGAAACGTGATTGTAAAACTGATCCTAAAAAGTGGGAAAAATAGACGTTCCTTGAATATTTTTATAATAATCTTAATTGTTACTTATAACTAAGGTCCTACTTAACTTGCGATGTTGAGGAAATTGCGGATTCCGCAATATTAGGCTTCAATTGCAGTTTTGACCGTGGGAGCCCCGCCGTGTGTGTGGGACTGACCGTGGGAGTCCAGGCAGTCCCAGGCCCTCACTCTCAGCCCCGGTGGCTGACAGCGGGAACCCCCCTGCTCTCAGCCTCAGGCAGCTGACAGCAGAAAATCGCAATAAAGTAATAATGGACTTTATTACCACAAATAATAAGGTCCATTATTACTTTTCTGCAATTTTCCATGGCTTGTCTGCAACTCAGCCGCAATTTTTTTGACAGTCATCCTACAATTCAAGTAGGGCTTTACTTGTGACATTAAAAGGTTTAAAAAAAATAATTTTGGAAGCGATTTTTAAGTGGACTGTCTCTTTAAGTGTTTGGATAAAAATCCAGTGATATGTTTATACAAGCCAAAGACAATTACACCCACCGCCCCCCCACTTCTTTTTTACATGTCACTATTTCCTATCTTGATACTCTAAAATTGATTGTGTCAAGATCATAACTGTCTGCATTCTTGCTAGCTGTTGTAGTTTCTAAATGATTTGGATTCACATGAATGTTAATATAATAACCTTGGTGTGGTATGGATGTGGATTGCCTGTCTTACATTGACAGTTTGTCATCTATCTTGATTACAGAAGAACCTATGGATTCCCACAGAGAGGATGCTGTTGCTTGCAGTTTTGTATTAAAAAATGAATCTGACATCAGTCAATCTGAATTGAAACCCCTGAGTGTGGAGGAGACGGAGAGGGTGGAGACTGAAGATAATAACGAAGAGGAGGAAATGAAAAAAGAAGTAACTGTGAAGAAAGTGGAATCAGAGCCTCCCCAGACATGTGTAGATAAAGACAGTGCAGGATCTAGTGAACGATCAAATTCAGCTAAACTTGTTCATACAACACCCAAACCAGGTAGCCAAAGTTTATTTATTTGTCCTCCCCCCCCCCCTTATTTTTCCCTTCAGATTAGTTTTGTTAGAGTGTTATACCTTGGCTGGTAAACCTAGGGCTGTTCCTCTTTATTTTGTATGCCCTCAGCTGCTCAGGGAACTCTGTCTGTAAATCAAGATATGGTGCATATTGCATGAGTTTTTAGTGCTCCCAATATTTTGCCCAGTTCATTTTGTTCAGCTCATTGGAGCCATCCAGCAGGTTTCTATGGCTGCCAGTTCATGGAAGCTTTGAGAGTCATCTAGACTCTCCAGCCAAATAGGCAATTGATAAATCTCACCTCATGAGCAGCAATAGAAAACCAAATTGGTGTCTAAAAAAGTGGACTTTATTACTTCCCTTCATGAAAACTAGTTAACTAAGGGTTGTCTTCCTTTAGGTGGTATGTCTAGTTATCCTCTAAATTATTTTCTCTGTTACAGTTGCCTGTCTTATTTGTGCACTTTTATAAATTATTTTCTTCTTTTTAGGGGCTATGTTTCTTACACACAAAAACATCATTTGTATATGTCCAATGGACTAGGGTTGTACTTTCCATTTTCTGTTCAAGGATAGGTTGGATGGTACTTTGCTGCAGAAGCAGAATACTAGTGTTTTTGCACTCCAGAGAAGGATAGCTTTGCCTTGGCCTGGACCCCATGGAAAGACCCTTTATGGAAGTGCCCCTTGGCTTGTTTCAGCTGTTTGGGTTGTAGCCTTATTTTTCTTTGAGAGACTTAAAGGTTTAAAAAACCCCACCCTACTCGATAGTAAAATGTGAGATAATTAAACTGTATTTTTTTTATTGTATGTGTAGTATTTGCATTTCTTTTTTTATACAGCAAAAATAGACATTTTCTAGTTCATTTCACTTTCAGAGACTCATACATTTGTACAATGCTGGGGTTTTCGTGTATCAAACACTGCACGGGAATTTTTGCTTATAGAGTTTTTCTTTGGAATTAAGAAGCAGAATAGTGGAGTGGAGATATTTTTAACATTTTTCGTAACTTAGTGGTTGTTTAACATTTTTATCACACAAGTTACAGTTCAATGGCTGAACTGCCGTCAAATTTGTTGTTGTTTTCCAAAATATTCACCTTTCAAGGCAGAAACTAAGTATGAGACGTTTATTCCTAAAAAAAACCCCAAACCGAAACCAAAGCAAAAAACAACAAATTGAGCATTCTAAAGGAATAGCTTGAACAGGAGTCCTTCCATTCTAAACTCTTCTGTTTATGGGAGCTGTGATATTGCTTACTGTGGCAGAGGAGCCAGGCAATTTATAGCGCATGGACTAGGTTTTCAAAAATGATCAACCCCCATGATGGATTGTCTTTATTAGAAAAAAGGGTGTGTTCTTACCTCCTGTTAGTGAGCACATGCTAACTATACTGGGTGAAACCCTAGTGAAAAAAGACAAGGCAGTTTGTAGTTTTCACACATGTTGGTAGGTAAGTGTACAGACTATGGGGGAGCCAAGAAGTTAGCTTTACCTGAAAATGTGTGACAACTACAAACCACCTTCTCTTCATGAATTATTTCTTACATTAGTTAGCGACTGGCTAACATGAGGTAAACTAAGAATACACCCTTTTTTCCTAGCAAAGACTCACCCAGAGAGTGCCAGATTTTCAACAACACAACTCCCATTTAAGCACCTAAATCAGTGGTCCCCAACCTTTTTGTGGCCAGTAGCACATTCATGTTTTCAGAAGAGTGTGGCGGGCGCCAACAATTTTTCAAGGCTTATTTTGTATTTGTTCATTAAATAATATGAAAAACATCATATTTAATATTACATAATATATGAATCCGGAGAGAAGCCGCGAGGACAGAGAACACTGGCGCCCGCTGCCCCGGAGTACTCTGTCCCCAGCAGGCACGGGGCCCCGGCTTCTCTCCCTTGCTGGGCACTAGGCGGGCGCACATAAATGCCCCGGTGGGCGCCATGGCGAGGACCATTGACCTAAATGAAAGAGCCAGACTTCTTGTAAAAGTGCTCAGCAAGAGCATTGGGAAAGCTGCTTGTTGGGCACTTCTGTAAATCTGGTGCCAGATTTCTAAGGCTTGTTAGAATATGGTGATTACGTTTTTAAAAGTCAAATACTTTTCTACCCCCTTGTGGACATTTTACCAAAACACAGAAAAACTAATTGTTAAAAAGACAAAGCTTTGCCATGAACTAAGTAAACTGTTTTCCTAGACCTTGAATGCAAACTAAATGGAAATTGACAGCAGATGGCAGCCATGAGTAAAGATTAATATAAATTGCCTTTTTTAAAGTCGAGGTACAGTCCTCAATTTGTATAAAGAATAACATTGTGTGACACTTTTTAAACAATATAGATGCAGATACAGGAAGTTTGAAATGTAATGTTTGTATTCATTATTTTAAAAATTAAGCATATATATTTTAGAAACAGAAATTTCCGGTGCTGTCCTTTTCGTTTTTGGCAGGGTTTAAATAAAATATAAAAGTGAGTTACAAACCCACCAAATCTTATTCAATATACCTATAATTTTAAATGTAGTTAGTGTTAAAGGTTACTTCTCTCAACCTGGAAAGTTTTAAACTAGATGTTTAGTTTTTGCCTTGGAAAAAGTTGACGTTTTCCATGATAAAATTTGTTTATGTAGAAATAAAAACCTCTTTACATAAACAGGTCATTGTCCTACAGAATAAGCGGTCTGTTTCTGCACACTTTCATAAGGAAAAAAGGTTTGCATTTTTCTATTTAAAAAAAAAAAAAAAGTTAAACCAATGAATTTATTACTTTGCAGGGCCGGCCCACAACATTTTGGCACCTGAGGCGGGGAACTCAAATGATGCCCCCATGCCCTCTCGCTTGGGCCAAAACTTTGAAAGGTCTCAATTCTGCCTTGTTCCTGTTCTACTCCTCTCATGGTACTGCTCTGCTACCTACCCCAATAAAGGAGAACTAACAACTTAAAATGCCTTGTTCAAAAATTTTAAGTAACACTTAACTTTCAAACGCCTGAACAACAAATTTAACTTTTCTTGTCTGCCTAGTAAATACTAGCATTTTTATCTGTTTGAATAATCAAGTGGTGCTGTCTGTGCCTTCTTGGTTGCAAAGATTTGAACTGCTTCCTGAAGGTCCACAGTCTGGACCAGCTCATGCTCTATTGAGATGTTTGCAAGGCCGACCAGCCTCTTCTGTGTCATTGTGGAGCATAGATGTGTTTTTATTAACTTCAGCTTGGAGAAGCTGCGTTCTCCACTGGCAACTGTTACAGGAAGTGTTAGAAGTATGCGCAGAGCAACAAAAGCATTTGGAAAGAGGGTGATCATCTTATTTGTGTACGTATATTCCAGAACAGCCTTTGGAGTTGATCCTGCTGAAATGTATCTTGAAAGGGCTTTCAGTTCATCACCTAAATCACTCACATCAATATCGCGCATGTCGTCATGTGTCAACACTGTCTCTAGTGCCCTGCATTGCTGGTGTAGGTCTTCTTCAGGTATAGTGAGGAGTTTTGGAATATCATACAACATCCCAAATATACTGCTGTGTTCCTTGAGTTGCTTGAAACGTTCTTCAATTGACTGTATTGCACAATCTAGCACCTGGTTAGAGAATTCAACTTTGATTTGTTGTTTGGGGTCTCTTATGGGATTATCCCGTGCCTCGTAATCAAAATGTCATCTTCTTCGGTGACTCTTGTATTCTTGAATGGGTGGGAAAATAGCTTCAGTGTTAAGTTCCTCTGCTAACTTCTGTGCGCTCTTCAGAACATTTTGAAATCCCTCATCTGACCGGTAAGACTGTAGGTATGACTTTGCTTTGTCCAGTTGTTCCATTGTTCCAGATATATCAAGTCAACACCTTGGAGTCTGTTGCTTACAACATTTATTTCAAACAGTATGTCATGCCACAACACTAAGCCACATATTTGAAGTTATGTTTGTTTCTGGTGACTGCATTTCCTTCTGCCACTGTTCTCCCACGAACAGTTCCTGTCATAGCATTATCCTCCATAATGGCAACTATGGCATCATCTATCTTCCCAATTTGGCGTTTGATAGGCTTCATCGCCTCCACTCGACTTTCCCATCATGTGGCACTCAGTGGTTTCAGTGTCAGAGAGGATGTTCCCAGATGTTGCTTCCAAATTTGCCATCGATGAGTTGATGCAGAGAAAAATACATAGATGCTTTGAATTACATTAAAAAATTCAGCAGCCTCCCTAGAAGCTGATGCTGCATCACTGATCACCAAGTTCAATGAATGAGAACTGCATGGGACAAAAAAAGCTCGAGGGTTTAACTCTCGGATCCATGTCTGCACTCCTCTGTTCTTTCCTCTCATGTTGGCACCATTATGGTAGCCCTGACCTCTCACGTCAGCTGTTGCACTTCCCGTATCTTCCAGCTTTTTAAGAAGCACATTTGTCATACCAGCTCCTGTAGTATCATCAATGTCAATACATTCTAGAAAATGCTCTCAGACAGTCACCATTGCAGGGACATTTTCACTAGGTTCTATTGTTGTTACAAAATGCACCATTAAAGTCATTTGTTCCTTATGGCTGATGTCAGGTGTGCAGTCCAGAATAACAGAGTAATATCTTGCTGACTTCAGATCTGCCACAATCTTCTGTTTGACTTTTGTTGCCAGTAACTGTATGGTCTCATTTTGAATTGTTTTTCCAAGGTAGTTGTGTGTGTACATTTCTTGGGTGGTGACTCTTCTTAGATGCTCCTGGAGTACAGCATCAAACTCGGCCATCAGCTCCACAATTTTAAGGACGTTTCCATTGTTTGGCACATAGAGCTGATCTGAAGTGCCACGCCATGCTACGTTTTGGGTAGCAAGCATTCTCACAGTGGCAATGAGCCTTTTCAGAACATTTTGCCAGTAAAGAGACTCTGATGCAATCTTCTCTTGATGCTGATCATCTATGGTGGCCTTTAACCTTAGTCTCATCTCAAGCTCTTTCCACCTATGGAATGCTCT